ATTCACACCCTCTCGCTTGACCGCTTCTCCAGCTTTCATCCCCCACCGTTTGGCTTCGCAGCTACTGCAACCTTACCCGTGTGTTCGGCCAGTTGCCTGTCGATTTTCTTTGCCCGTTCTCGGCTATTGGCCCGGAAGCTTGCGAGCTGCTCTTCCCCCGGACCCCTGTCGGCCCACCCCCATCCAATGTCTGGGACACTGCCGCCAACCCCAGACTAGACACTTATCCCCAACTTTGGAACCTTAGGAAACACGCCTGTGGCAATCGCCCCATCAAAGGGCCGGCCGGATGTGAGAGGGGGGTGGTGACAGAGGCGTGATAACAGCCGACGTAGAGGGCAACATGTACAGGGGAAGAAATTCCCAGAGTGCCCTTGCGCCGAGGGCACCTTCGGTATCTCTACCAAAGGCAAGGAAGGCAGGTAGGTAGGTGGTGGTCCTCGTTGGTTGGGGAGCTACCACGTCGGTGGTTCTGAGTCTGTCAGTGTCCGTGCCTGTCTCTGGAACGCACTTCAGCACAGGGCCAAATCAGACAGAGAGATGGATGGACGGACGGACAGACAGGGCCCAGTATGATTTCTCCCGTCCGCTGCTTTTCGCGTTGCTGGCCGGGACCCCGGACATCTGACCCCCTGTCTATCTCATGTTGTGCCCCGGGGGGGGCCAACACCATACTTGTCTGTCTCAGAGACTTCTTAAATAATTACCCCAGCAGCCTCTCCCGGATTCCCATTCCCGTTCTCTCTTCACTTCCCTCAGATCTTGGAGACTGCTATCCTGCCTACCTGCCTTCTGCCACCGCAACTTCTCCCTGTTGCTGCCTGAAACCCGTATACACTCTAAACTGTCCAATCCACTCTCCAGCAACTGCCTGACACGTCTCTCGTAAGGCTTGCTCTCCGACATCACGAGCCCATCTTCAGCTCCCGGGAAACTGGTATTGACCCGGAAACAGACGGACACCAAAGTCTATCGTCTTCATCTTCCCCCTCGGAACACCCTCCAAATCATTTCCAACAAGAATTCCAAAATGCCCGCCGCTCACATCGCGTCACCGCTCCCCATCACCCCGCCGAGGTCAAGCCTCCGCCTGATGACGGGTCAGGATCTCTACACCAGCCTCAGCGCTACCCTCAGCTCCACCCACCGCCCGACGACGCCCGTCCACATCATCCGCGAGCAAGACTACAGCGTCCCCGCCCCGCCCCCTCCGAGTCCCGTCTCTTTTGCGCAAGATCACTGGCCGGCTTCCCTACGCCGCTAAGTCGGCAGGATGTGCAGCTCAGGAGTAGCAGGATGATCGAAAGAACGAGAGGGGGCGGCATACTTTATTCACATTTTTTTTCCTTTGTTTGGTTGCTTGTGTACCACCGACGCAACTTGCGATTCCGACAAGGGGAGTTTAAGGCGCTCGAGTTTGATATTTGAGGGAAGGAGAACGGGTGGACCTTTGAGGGACAATCTTCGGTCTCCCGAATACTGGTCTGGGGTTACATAAAAAGACGCGCATGGCTTTCTCGCTTAGTTGCTCTCGAAGGTTCTCCGAGGGTTGGGTATCATTAGAGGCACAATTTTCAGTCCCAGCAGGATGCATTTTCTAGCTTTGTTTTCTTTTCTTCGGGAGCATCGGTATCTGGTGCGTCTTACTCCACCAACTGGTCTGCGACTCCTTCAATCTGAACAGTACCTGATCATTATCTTTTATAAACACCGCGCCGTGCCTGTCAAGTCGTGACTAGATCGATGGATTGAATCTGTTCAATTCCTACCGTTTGCTACTTCTCAAACATGGCGATCTGGTCGATAGAGAGGCTGCCGACCAAAAATTGAATGCAAGCCTTCGCACGGATCGTGGCCACTGATGATCGAACTGCATGCACGATGCTTCATCGAAATGCATGAGCAAATTTGGCAAAGGCATAGAAACAGTTGCTTCTGGCCTAAACGTGGTTTTGCAAGAGTTCTTTCGCACTTGGTATCTACAAGGACGTCTCGTGTGGGTCGGATGGGTCGCTAGACGACGGGACAAGAGGCCTACTAGATGACGTTCGACCCCAGTAGTGACACGTGCACGGACCAGTCGTGACCACTTTACGCGACGTACCAGGTTCCTCACGCGGAACAAGGCCTTGAAAACGCGTCCAGGCGCGCAAGTCACGAACAGGAACGCGTGTTGCTGAGGAAGGTGCAAGGGCCAGGAGCCCCCACTACCAGCATGCCTGCTCGCATAACTTCTGCCATGCTTCGACTGCACTCCCCTCCTCCCTACGGTCTGCACTTACCTTCACAACTTCAGTTCCTTCTCGGCTTTTGAACAATTGCGCCTTAACATCACCAGTCCGCACGCTTCCTTCCTGAAACACAGCAGCTGCCCGTCTCACTGCAAGCACCACACACACCCATAATCCCCTCCGCGCACCGCCAGAGGTCACCAAGCAACCGCCTTCACAATGGCACGGGTTGCTTCTCGCCGCGCGGTCAAGCCTGCTGTGAAGCCTGTCGCATCAAACTCGATCACCAACTACGCTCGGCTTTCCAAGGGTCAAGCTCTTGCCATCGACAAGCTTGACAAGAAGGTGCTCGCTGCGTGCCTTCCCAACTTCAAGCCTTCTCCCCTCGTCACAGTCACCTCGATCCACAACTCCAGCGATGAGGAGAACAGGAAGACCCTCGCATTCAAACCTTCCTCGGGGCTCGGAGAAATCAAGTCGACACACAGCAAGAAGAGAAAGGCAACAGCCGAGGACGAGACCTCAATCACGCTCGCTCTAACCACGACATCCAAACGCCAACGTATCAAATCTGATGGACCCAGAGGCGATCTCCCTTCCGCGCCTGCCTGCCAGACAAACCGTTTGACGCAGACTACAATCACAATTGCTTCGCCAACACGACGTCCACCAGCACGCTTCGCAAGACGGCCCAAGTCGACTC